CTAAATTGCTGTGGGCCTTTAAATTGAAAGAGTTGAAAATTGGTTAATCTTTTAAATTAGTTAATTGAAAAATGAAAAGAGGGAAAGTAAATATTGATTAGAAAAGAGGGAGAGGGAGATCTCTCTCTCTCTCTCTCTCTCTCTCTCTCTCAGGTAGGTGGAGATCTTCATGACAGGTAAGAAATGAGATGACAATTAATCAACTTGAATTTCATTAAGTTCTTTTAACCTTGTAAATTAGGTCAACCTTGAGATTGGAAACTTTCAGAATGAGAAGGATTAACTCTATGGATTAAGGAAATTGTTTCGTAATTTTTTTTAAAGATAAAGAGATGATTGATTCTGATAAGAATGATAATCAAGATGATTATTCTCTCTATTTGAGCGAAACTCTTGTTTTACCCTAAAAACCTCATGAACTATTCGGTTTCTCCTTTGAGATTAGCTGATTGAATGAAGATGCGATAATCCTCATCTGAAAATCTTAAACTTACACTTGTATAGAAAAACAAAGTGATTATAATGAGGATGATGACAGAAGATAAAATGATTCAGTGGAATAGAAAAAAAAACTATTTTGTTTCACTTTTTTCCCTTGCGAATTGAATGAAAATAGAAAAAGAGAAGAAAATTATTCTTTTTCATTTCCATTGTTTTCTAGGGTGAATTTCATGATGATCATCATTACCCACTCTCTACAGTAGCACCATCATCATTATCATGATAATTATCATCTCTCTCTCTCTCTCTCTCTCTCTCTCTCTCTCTCAAGCTTCAAAATGCTCATCTAATTAAAAAAGTGTTTGTCAACATAATGATTATAATAACGATGGAAAAATATTTATCATCATGATGAAATTTCTGAGCATCTTTTAGACTCAACTGACGATGATGATTCATTGAAATTTACACCCTCAGGCTAAGAAATGGATTAAAAAATTCAATGAATAATCTGTAAGCTACTGAACTCAAAGTTCCATGAGTTTATCATTTTTTTTTCCTTTACATGGTAACATCATGAACTGATTGTATTATTACACAAGAAGAAAAATTTTTGCTTGTGGCTCGTTTTTTTTATCTTCTCACTGTTTCCATCTCCATCTCCTTCCTTATCATCATAATCATCATCAAAAACAACATCTTTCCATGAGGTTTCAATGAAAGTTCATTTTCTAATTTTCTTTTTTTTTTCTTATTCACTCTATTCTCTATCCATTTCTCTCCTGTTAATGTCAATTTAATGAAACGATAAATGAATCTGAGTTTCATGGTTAAAAGATGATCCTGCAGAAAAAAAGATGAAGATGATGAAGGAGCAAAAAGAGAGTGAATATTAACCTACAAAGAATAAACATAATCATGATAATAGTAACTTTCTTTCAGGGGGGAGAAAAGAATAGATGAAAAGTTATATTATTATTAGAAGATATAAAAAAAAGTTCTGAACTTGAGATGCCCTGTAGACATGAAGTTGGAAGATGACTTGAAGAAGATGATGATGGAAGAGCAAAAGGAAAAACATGAGATTTCCTTCAACAGATTGGAAATGAACTTTCATGTCCTTCATTTGGACAGAAGATGAAGAGGAAGAAGATGAAAAAACGAACAAGAAAATTGAATTTCAATTGCAAGTTGGAAAACAGAGAAAAGATAAAAAAGAAAAGAGAAAAAGATTCCAACTCAATGTAACCATTAGAATGAATAAAATCAAGTCTTCGTTGACTTCGAACTGATCAATTGTCATCCATTCAAAAAGATACATTGTAGATAGAAATGGAGACAGTTCTAAATAGAATCGAAAGTTGAGATTATTATTATTCTGAATCAAGTTCCCCTCTCATTCCCTGTGTGTATTTGTATTGGTGTCTCCTAAATAACAATGATAAAAATACGAATTATCATCAACGTTTGAATAAATGTCAATTTCTTAACATTTAGCATCCCCTTCATCAACATCATGTTTGTCCTTTTCATTTATCATCACTATCATCATATGTTTTAACATGATAATAACAATAATGATAACATGGCGATGACAATCAGCAAGAGAGAGAGAGAGAGAGAGAGTTGAGTTATTCATGATCACATAACAATAATGATAATAATATGTGATTGTTGTCAATTGTCAATATTATCATTCAGTTCACCAGATTCCAGTTTCCATGTGTCAGGGTGAATGAAAAAAGAAAGATGAAAATCAAACTCCCCCTGAAGCTATGAATGTACAATCATGATGATGATGATGATGATTGAAAAGGTAAAAATAATCAAAGTGAAAATAGTTTACAAAGTTAATCAAAATTTCATATGAAAAGTAACAATCAGAGTGATGAGAAATTGATGATTGACAGATTTAGGAAGGAAAATTTTCTCATTCCAAATCAACTATTAGAATACATTAAGAAATGTATTAGAAAAAAATAAAGAAAAAAGAAAAGTTCTAAAAAGTTCTAAAAAGTTCTAATCTACCTAAACAAGGTGCTAATGATGATGGTGATGATGGTGCTAAATGATAATGATACTGGTATATATACACATTAAGGATTTCTAATTGAATGTAGTGATTAAATTGATAACAATTAACTCTGTAAACGTGATTTAAACTAACAAGGTTAAGATATGATAATTACAGGTAACATTTAAATTACAATATCTAAACATTAAAGGCTTGGTCAACAATAAAGGTGAAGCATAATCATCATGAAATGTGATGATAATTGAACCTAATTGTTACCCTTAAGATTTCAAAATAATAATAATAATCATCATCTTACTGATGATAACATTTAATTACATGTAGCATATAATATAAACAAGGGAACTGAAAGATTCAATTATTATTATGCAAAGTTGATGATAATCTGATGATAATCATGATTAAAATCACCTAAATCCAAATGAACCAGATTAAAAGTGATAATCATCAGAATTTTGAAAGGAAGGAGAAACAAAATTAATCCCTGGACATTAAATAAATGGTCAAGATATTGATATTTACTATTTACCAATTGAATAATATGTTGACTATACACTTTCACTTTGCTTAAATGTTGATTGTTTGACTTTTACATGTTCAAAGCCTCGAGGGTATTTTACTTTTACTTTTATCATTATTTTTGTTCATTTATATATAAATACAAATGATTATGAATTTGTTGATAATTATCAACATGTAATGATAACAATTTAGGAAGATAATGATAATCAGGATGAAGATGATGATAAAAAATAGGATTGGCTTTTTAACGCTTCAAGAAATTATCACAGGTATTTTTTTCTCAATCAATTGGGATGATGAGGATGAGGAAGACATAACAAGTCTACTGATGATGATAATGATGATATTAAAGTGGATTAGTTATCTCTCTCTCTCTCTCTTTTATCTTCTCTTGGGAAGAAAATTATCATTTTCTTACCTAATAAACATAAGTCTCTCTCTCCCATAGACTTTACCTTATAATCTTGAGCATCTTCAAACTGCCCTAAGGTCATCATCAGGTTTACCTTCATCATCTTCATCTAATGTTATATATAAATTTTCAACTGAAATAATAATCAACCTTTAAAAGTATCAAATTGTAATGGCAACATCTTAATTGTTAATCATAAGTATCCAAAAGTTTTCAATCACCATTAATTAGTAAAGCAGAAAACAAATCTTAATTACTCCCTTAATTTCAATTCTAACTTCAAGTTGATTGATTAACTAATTTATAATTAAACATTGGAAATTATTGATTTAAAAGTTTCATCTAAATGAAGACCAAAGTTGATTTTGAATGTTTTGTAAGTTCGTTTTTTTTTTGCTAAATTAATAAGATTGAAAATAATAAAAACGAAACAATTTTCTGTTTTCTCATTCAAAGTTAATTAACATCATCATTAATCTTAATCTAATTCATTTACCTGGTTGTGTGTCAACAATTAAAGAAACAAATTGCTAAACACTAAAGGCTTAAGAAACAATCAACAAGAATATAAAACTTATCGATAAACAATCAAAGTTTACATATCATCATATTAATAATCATCATTATCCAACCAACTAAATCAATATGAATGTTTAATTGTAAACAATTAGATGAAAAACAATTTAGTATTCAGGGTGGCCCAAAATTGTGGATCATAATAAACGGAAAATGTAACAATTCAATATCATGGGATCGGTTCAATGTACCATGAAAATAACTTTTACCTGGAAAATAAAGACTAGTAGGTAATTGTAACAGAGGAAACAATCAAATCCTATGGATCTAATTAGTACCTATGGTAAAAAAAAACAGTCCAGGTAAGTATCAAGTGAATGGTAAAAGTTTTTGGGTGAAGTTTGAAAAGGTAAACATAATAATAGGTAAAGTTTATATTCCGATGGTGGTCATCAAATTTTGCGTGTAAAAGCAACATGGACTGACCTTCCTACCGAAAACTACAATTAGCCCACCAGAAGAGTTGATATTTGGGTATGATTATCAATAGATAGACAGAAAAAATCATAATCATCATAATCATAGTTAATAATCAATAGGTAATTACCCTTAGGCTATTTTCTTGTATTTCGAGTGAAATTGTTTTCTTGTTTCCAATTGATTCGGGATATTAGATTATCTAATCTCTTCATATTGTAAACAATTAAAGATTAATTGATGAATATTGAGATAATTGATTGATTTAAATTGCGATGAAAATGATTATCTATTATTAATATTGTATTCAAATATAAAACTTTTACTGTTCATCAACAATCATGATTAGTTGATTAATCATGATAATATTTATGAAGATGCTGATTAATCAACAATCTGGTTGAAAGATTGATGATTTTTAAGTTAACTGTTTGTTTGTTTTTAAAACAAATTGATCAACAAACAGCAAGAAATTAATCAACAGTTATTAAATTATTCAGTATTCAAAAAGATATATATGAATTAATGAAATGGGTTTCTATTTGTTGCAATACAATTTAACTTGTTATTTAAATCAATTGAGATTATCAAACTTACAATTTAAATCAACAGTGACACTTGACACTTGGGGTGATGATATGTTATTATTTGATGCTTGGCAGGTTAACACAGCCATTAAATCATGACGTTGAAGTACTGGTATCTCAAGGATATTCCTGATGAGTCCGGATCCGGAAGTAGATATTATTTCATAGGAATCATCAAGTAAAACTGATTCCCTCCACCAGGTAAGGGTGGGACGAGGTTTACCACCGTTAACCTCACACTGTAAACTTAATTTTTCACCCTCATTAAAAGGTCCTATTAAAGATGTCAAAGGTTCAACTGATTTACCATCAGTAATAATTGGCTTATCGGGTGGAACTGTATATATAATAAATATCAAATAAACAACAAGATTAACATGAGATTAGGATTTAATTTAATTCAGTTATTATTATTATTGTAAAAGTCTCAACATTTATCACTCTGGTTTTCTTGAATTCATTCAACAGGATTTGGAAACACTAATCGTAATTATCATCAATGCTTTTCAATCATAAAGTGACACTTTTGTTTAGCACATACGGATTACCCACCGGTGGGTTATGCCCTCTCTCTCTCTCTCTCTCTCTCAAGGCGAGGTGGAACATTTCAATTACGATTATTTGTAATTATGTATTAACAATCAAAACTAATTCATCAACGTTGACGTTAATTGTAATCACTTTTAACAGCAATATATCCGGTTGCTTATTTGATTGTTGCTGTTCAATTTTTCACCATTTCAGTTTTTAAAACTCTGAAATTGTGATGGTTTTTCAATATTCATCATCATTACTGTTTATTACCATGAGCAATTCAGCTTTCATGGTAATATTTATGCCTCCAATAAGATGAATGTGTGTATATAAGATTTTTTTTCCCTTCTTCCTTGGAAAAACCGGAAATTGGTTTACCGGAAATATGGAGTATCTATCATGTATTCATATTCATTGTTCAAGTATCATAAAGATGCCATTTGATAGTCTATTGTCAACATCTTAATGATAATGATGATGGATTTAAATTGCTTCATTAGAGTTAAAAATGTCCAAATTTCCGGTCAGAACTTTTCTCTCCCAAATATTTACAGTTAATCGTAATGTTAACACATCGGCTGTTTGTCAAGCAATTAGGTTAACAACAATTTCCAATGGTTATCAACTAATTATTGTTGATTAACTAATTTAGCTTTTTTTGTTGTTTTTGTTGTCTACTCGTTGATTGTGCTTGACAATTTAGATTCACTTAATCAGCTAATTATTATCTTTTTTTTTGTCTCTCTCAAAACTCATTTATAAAAGTTTTTCTAGTGTCAAAGTTGATTGGATTCAAAATGATGAGGATGATGAACAAGGTGAGTTGACAAACGGGAAAAGGAAATGATAAACATTGGTAATAATGAAAATCTCATCATCATGATGAAAATCAGAATGATGATGAATATGAAAAGAAGAGGAGAAAAAAAAAATTTCTCTCAATTAATTTAATTTCAATATATATGGAAAAAGGTAAATAAATTTGCAATTAAACTGATTGCAAATTACAATTAATAGTTTTACTTGAAATAAACTCATGAATTAATTAGTTATTGACTTTGTAGAGTAAATTAATTGTCAGATTGTATAGTAAATGATGGAGACTCTTTTTTTCACCAAAACAATTTACTAATTATGTTGATTATTTTTGGCGCTCAACATGATAATTAGTTACAAGCATTTGTAATTAGTTTTGAATATTTGAATGAGTGTGTTGATTGTGTTTTTCTCACGGGTAACCACAAATATTGTGATTAACTAACAACAAGATTAGTCCAACGGCATAAATTGAATGACACAATAAGATAGACTAAGAGAGAGAGAGAGAGAGAGAGAGAGAGAGAGAGAGAGAGAGTGAGACAAACAAAACAAAACTGTCAACGAAAATGTCACTCATGTTACATTTTATCATTATTATTATGCTGATTGTCAACAATTTTGCTCTGTGTGTTTATCATGATAATAAGATGATGATGATGAAATGAAAGCTGAACATGAAAGAGACGAGAATGAGGGAGAAAAAGATGAAGAGAGAGAGAGAGAAATTCTTATTAATATGATGATGATGATGATGATAACTATCATCAAGCTTAATCTATTCGATGATTTTTTTTTCTCCAACTATGGAGATAACAATCAAAAAGGTAACATCACTTGTTAATCAAACAATTTGTCAAACAACTCGCAAGATAATGTATATCTTATGGGATAACCCTCGAGGGTTTTCAAGTAACAGAAATTATTGTAAACACTGTTAAAGAATCATCATCATTATCATCACCATTGTTTCACCAGTGATTTGATTAACTTTATTTATTCACATTGGATTGAAGGGAAAGCTTTAGGAAAATGATGATTACTTGATTGTTTATGAGAAAATTTTTCACAATTAACCAGCATCATCATTCATTCAGTTTCAACAATTATAATGTAACAATAAGATGATTATGATGCTGGTGATGATGATGATGATGATGATGATATGGATTAAGATATGAAGGTAGAATTGAATTTGTAGAGAAAACTTTTTCCTCCTAAATTGATTGTCTTAAATAAAAAGTTGATTAACCTTTCTAAGTGTTTATCATTTAGTTACATTAATAAATCATCATCAACATAATCAAGAAATAATCAAGTGATTAATTCAACTAATATATTCCCGGGTTACATTTTAAGTTAATTTGTTTATCTAACCAAAAAAAAGTACTTATATCAATATGATATTTGGGTTATACTCCCAGTGGATAATATTATCATGATGAGAACTGTTGACATTTGCAAGAAACGAGGACAAGAAAAATTAACAATTGATGATAATAATTCAGTCTCTCTGAATTTATCTTCCATTAACATAATCATTGACATAATGATGATGATGATTGTTACGATTGGAAAATGTTAATAACTATTGTGAGTGAGTCAGGAAGATGATGAAGATAATCAAATGTAAAAATCGATTCAAATTGAAAAGAACCGTTAACCCAAGCGAATCTATTTTTTCTTCTTCTTTTCCTTCACATTGAATTATTACCACTGAAAATTGAACTTTTTTTCCGAATAGAATTGAAACTTTACTCTGTCTGAATTCAGTTGAAATCATTTCAATCATGTAAATTCAGGGATTGAGTTTTTAAGGCAAATTTACGTTGACGGTGAAATTTATTTTAATGTAAGCAAAATGAATCGGATGAAGTTGATGTTCATGATGATGATGATGATGATGATGATGATGATGAGAATGCTAATCATTGAGAAAGAAAAAAATTTCAGAACTTGATATAAACATAAATATATATTTTCCACTTCCCTCTTGAAATCGTAATCCACCTTATCCGAAATGAAACAATGTCTATGGATAGAAATGAAAAATTCTGGCTCATGATTATATAAATTGTTTCAGTTGTTTAGGTGAAAGTTTAACTGAGATAATCTAATGAATGTCATTTCAAATTGTCATCCAAAGGCGTGGTACTATTAAGTTGAATCTTTTAGACATCATGAAGTGTTCATGAAAATAATGATTCTGAGTTGGAAGACATAATCATCATCATCATCATCATCATGATAATCACAATTTGTTTGTATTATCATCAGAATCATAGGTTATTCATGTTCCAACCCAAAAATTGATTCAAATTGAAAGTTTCCAAATTCTGGCTTCTGAATTATATCCTTGGGTTAATATTTTCATGATAAATTTACTTAATTATCATCAAATTAATCATCGATTAAGAAATTAATAAGCTAAGGTTGATTGTTATCATTTCAATTGCTTCTTTATGTTAATCAACAATTTTCTTGTTTACCTTATGTATTAAAATTTGATAGGAAACAATTTATCAGCTGATGATACAAATTAACTTGTATCTTTTACCTGATGATGATTATTAGTTAATTGTCTTTAACTTGATTATTGTTATAATATGTTTACTGTATATAATTTTCTGTTGTTCAACAAGCTAATTGATGGATAATTTCAACTACGCAATTAACTTAATTGTGTCCGAAATGTTTTTCTGAGTGTGTGGTCGTAATCATATAAATCATTATCTTCCCAATCAACAGTGAGAGAGAGAGAGAGTCTAATCATCAAACAACAGGTATCAGCAACAATTAATCACGATCATGATGATGATGATGATTATCGTTGATTATTATCATTATATTCATTTGTTACAATTGAACCATTTGAATAAAATTAATATTGATCACCAGTGGTCATTTTATTATATCAGATTGACCATTGGTTTTCAAAATTCAATTCAATTCAATTTGAATCTTTTATTGATTAAATCGACAGCCATTGATTGATTATCATTAAACATTTTTTTCCTTCAACAATTGAATCAATTGTTGATCAACATTTCGCCGTTATCAATTTAATTGTTACTAATTTTCATCATTGAAATGATAAGAAATCAAATATTGATCAATTGGACTTTTTTTTATCACATCAAATGTTGTGATACAATTGATGATGATGATGATGATGATAAGATAGATGATGAATTTGTTGCAAACAATTACGAAGCTGGAAATGATTTTATTTGATTGTTTTTCCAATTGTATCTGTATCCTGTTCAATTGGATATTCAATCATCAACACATCATTTACTCACGTTGAATAAACTATTTTTTTCATTATCATTATTATTTTTTTCTCAATGTTCATGATGATCCAGGTAGAGAAAGAGAGAAAAAAAAATTTTCGAACAAAAAAAACATGAAACTAAACATTTTACCTGGAAAAATAGATTAAGTTGCAAAGAGATAAACTCACAATGGTAATACAACTTAGTGGGTAAACCTGAGAGAGGAGGAAAGTGGGTAAGGGGCAGTAGTTGTAGCGGTGGTGATGGTGGGCAAAGGTGGAAACAGGGGGAGTGAGAGCGTGTTAATGCATTTTCATGCAAGAAAATTAATTTCAATCCCTCTCTCTTGATCTAATCAAATATCCTGAATAAGATCAAGAGGGGTGATGGTTGTGGTGGGTGGGATGTAGAAGTGATTCATTGCTCAGGGAAAGAAAAATCTAAGCTCAGAATGTGAGAGGTAATGAAATTGGTAGTAAAAGCAGAGAGAGAGAGAGAGAGAGAGAGAGAGAGAGAGAGAGAGAGAGAGAGAAATTGCCACTGTGATGTTTTCACTCTTGATTGAGGTTAGCACAGCGGGAGAGGAAAAGGAGGTGATATTAGTGGTGGTGGTGGAGAATGTGAATTTGTTTATATTACAACATTTACCTTACTCTTAATCATCCTCGACTGTTGAGTATTTTATCAATTAAGTATTTCTTACCTGTCGCAT